ACTATATATATACATGTATATATACACACACACACATATATGTATATACACACACACACACACATATTTTTTTTTTTTGAGATAGAGTTTCACTCTCGTTGCTGCGGGTACAGTGGCGTGACCTTGGCTCACTGTAACCTTCACTTCCCAGGTTCAAGTGATTCTCCTACCTCAGCCTCCCGAGTAGCTGGGATTACAGGAATGTACCACCATGTCCAGCTAATTTATTAGATAAAAACTATTTTAAAATTCATATGGAACCAAAAAAAGAGCCCAAATAGCCAGGGTAATCCAAGCAAAAAGCACAAGGCAGGAGGTGTCATGATACCCAACTTCAAATTACACTACAGGGCCACAATAACCAGAATACCATGGAACTAGTACAAAAACTGACACATAGACCAATGGAACAGAATAGAGGGTCCAGAAATAAGGCTATATACATACAATCATCTGATCTTCAACAAAACTGACAAAAACGATCAATGGCCATATGCAGAAGATTGAAACTTGACCTCTTTCTCATACCATATATAAAAATCAACTAAGAACGGATTAAATACTCAAATGTAAAACACAAAACTATAAAAATCCTGGAAAACAACCTAAGCAATACCAATCTGGACACAGGAACTGGCAAAGATTTCATGATAAAGAACGCCAAAAGAAACTGCAATAAAAACACAAATTCACAGAGGAGATCTAATTAAACTTAAGAGCTTCTTTGCAGCATAAGAAAACATCAACAGAGTGAAAAGAAAACCTATAGAATGGGAGAAGATATTTACAAACTATGTATCTGACAAAGCTTTAATATTCAGCATCTATAAGGAACTTAAAACAAATTTACAAGAAAAAAACTAACAACCCATTAAAAAGTGGGCAAAGGACATGAACAAACACTTTTCAAAAGAAGACATAAAGCAGCCAACGAGCACATGAAGTTCAACATCACTGATTGTTAGAGGAATGCAAATCAAAACCACAATGAGACACCATCTCACATGATTAAGAACGGCTATTACTAAACAGTCAAAAAATAACAAACGCTGGCAATGTTGCAGCAAAAAGAGAACATTTATACACTATTGGTGGGTTGAACTAATTTACAGTTAGTAAATTCATTGTAAATTAGTTATAAATTAATTGCAAATTAGTTCAACCATTGTGGCAAGCACTGTAGGAATTCCTCAAATAGCTAAAAACAGAACTACTCTTCAATCCAGCAATCCCATTACTGGGTATGTACCCAAAGGAATACGAATTGTTCTGTCATAAAAATACAAGCACATGTATGTTCACTGCAGTAATAGCAAAGACATGGATTTAATGTAAATGCCCATCAGTAGTAGAATGGATGAAGAAAATATGGTACCTACACACTATGGAATACTATGCAGTCATAAAAGTGAACAAAAACCCCCGTGACACAAGTTTACCTATATAACAAACCCGCTTGTGTACCCCTGAATCTAAAATAAAAGTTTTCTGAAAAGTAAGACACACCATGCCAAAACTCACTGAAAAAGTAGATAATCTAAATAATCCTAGACCTGTTAAAGAAATTGAATTTATAATGCAAAACCTTTAGTCAAGGAAAACTCAAGGCCAGATAGTTTCACTGGCAAATTCTACCAAATATTTCAGAAAGAAATAATACCAATTTTACACAGGCTCTTAAAAAAAAAAATACTCTTGAATTCTTTTATGAGGCCAGAAGCGCCCTAATCCCAAATCAGGAAAAAATTAAATAAAAAGAAACCTATAACTAATAGCCCTCATGAATATAAACATGCTCAACCAAATATTAAACACAACAATGTATAAGAAGGTGAGTACATCACACCAAGTGAGATTTCTTCCGAAAATGCGTATCTGCTTCAACATTTGAACATCAGTAAGCGTAACTCGCCATTTAAAAAGATTACAGTAGATAAGGCTACATAATCATCTCAACACATGAGAAAAAGTATTTGGTAAAATTTATTATTCATTCATAACACTTTTTAAAACTTAAGCAAACTAGGAGGAATCAAAGTAACTTCCTTAACCTAACAAAAGGCATCTACAAAAAATTCTAATCTCATACTTAATGGATGGTCTAAAATGAAGAGCAGGAGAAAGACATTCACACATAACATTTGTATTCGCATTGTACTAGATGTCCGAACAAGTGCCATAAGGCAAGGCAAAGGAATAAAAGGAGCAAAAATCTTAGGAAACTGTCTATATTCACAGATGGCATGATTGTCTGTATTGAAAATCCCATGACATTTATTTATTTAATTTTTTTGAGACAGAGTCTCGCTCTCTCACCCAGGCTGGAGTGCAGTGGTGCATTCACTGTGCACTGCAACCTCCACTTCCCGGGTTCAAGCGATTCTCCTGTCTCAGTCTCCCGAATAGCTGGGATTACAGGCGTCCACCACCACACCCAGCTAATTTTTGTATTTTTCTAGAGACAGGGTTTCACCATGTTGGCTAGGCTGGTCTCAAACTCCTGACCTCAAGTGATCTACCCTCCTCGGCCTCCCAAAGTGCTGAGATTACAGGTGTGAGCCATCGCGCCCGGCTGACACTTATTTTTTTAACAAATAAGTGAGTTTTCCAAGGATGTAGACATTTCATCAAACAAACATGCAAATGACAATAAACATATAAAATAGTCTGAAAATCATTAGTCATTAAGAAAATGTAAATTAAAGCTATAACGAAAAAAAAACATGTTTATGGGGATGGCTAAAATTTTTTATAAATCCAGACAGTATCAAATACTAACCAGATTGCACAGTAAATAGAACTCTCATGCATCACTGGGAGGGCTGTGAAAGGGCACAGCCCATCTGGAACACACTGGTCAGTTCCTCACAAAGTTAAACATGTATTCACCATGAACACAGCAATCTTATTTCTAGATATTCATTCAAAAGTAGACTTGAACACTGAAAAATCTGTGTTCACACACCCCCCGCCCCCAATGGTGAATGTTTATAGCAGATTTCTCACAATTCACAAACCCTGGAAACATCTTCAATGTCTCTCAACTGGGAAAAGGATTAATAAACTGGTACCTACATAAAGTAGAGAATATCACCCATCAATTTAAAAGGGGAAACGGTCATTGGTAGACACATAACATGCATGAATCTCAAATGCATTACCCTATGAAAGAAGCCATATTCTAAAGGCTACATGTTACCTACATGTTATGTGACTCCATTTTTATGACTTTCTTGGAGATTAAAAAACAGAATGAAGGAAAGCAAATCAGGGATTTCCAGGGATTAAACGTTTGACTTCAAAGGGCCACCAGGAGGGAACTTTTTCAACGGTGATCAAACTATTCTGTATTTTGATTATGATGGCATTTGCATGACTATGCATTTGTCAAAACTCATAGACCTGAACAGTGAAAATGCTATTGTGTATACATTTAAAAATAAATTTAAAAGAAACACAACCCAATAATGAAAGTGGATCCTCAGAAATAGATAATTTATAATCACTCACAAATGTATTGCTGTGTATACTTCTCTACAGCATTTGAAACTTTCTATTTTATATAATTGAAATTTGTGTGTGTATATATCCTATAATAACATAATACATTACATTATAGTTCAGTGAATGCAGGAAACAGGAATAGCGTATATATGTATGCCATTGTCTGGCAGAGGTAATAATCCATAAATGTTTGTTAGATACATAATTTAATAGAAAAAACTTATCCCTGATGACACAGAACTGGCTCTCCTGCATAACTCTCTCAGTTCATAGCCAGTGGAAACAGCAGATTCGAAGGGGCAAAGAAATGGGTAGAAAAAGTTATTCTGACAGAAAAAAAGTGATCAATGTTAACCCCACATAGACAGCAGAGTACAGAATAATAAAACTCAAACACACAGATTTGTGTGTGCATGTGTTTTACATACCAAATAGGTGTCATTCATCTCTATACAATTTCAAATAATAATTGACATGGAAAGGGGGCCTTATAAAAGTTTTATTGTATAAAATATTCTTTAGAAAACTTTAGCAAATAAAATAAATTATGAAAAAATTAATTTTTATCTATTTAGTTATTTTGAGATTAACTTATAAGACTAGCTAATTTTTGTATTTTGGGTAGATATGGGGTTTCACTATGTTGGCCAGGCTGATCTCGAACTCCTGGGCTCCAGTGATCCACCCGCCTCAGCCTCCCAAAATGCTGAGATTACAGGTGTGAGCAACTGCGCCCAGTATGCTGCCTTCATACTCTATATGGACATTCAGTGAACCTCTGTTAAATTAATAAATGTCGAGTGATGTTACCATACCCTTCCTGAGTACTAGTTCTGAGAAAAAGCAAGCATTAAAAAAATGTTTAAAAGGATAACATACACAAAACCAAGTTTTATGTGTGTGTGCCTGTATGTGTGTTCATTTGTGTGTGTGTAAAAGAAGGATGCATCAATGCCTATACCTAACTTACATATGGCTTTTCTTCTTCTTAACATTTTTTAAAAAACAACTTACCTTTCAAGAATTGAATAAGGATGTCAATAAGCTAAATTTCTACCAAATGATAAATGGTACAACTAATAGTAAATATATAATAATAATAAATGCATATGCAGCCATATACATTAGGCAAACAGAATCATAGCAGAAATTTAACAATGATGCAAATTTTGTGGGGCATTTTAATTATGTGGTTTTAATACTTTTAAAGGTATAAAATAATTGAGGGAATTTACATAAATATATTAAGGATGAATAAATAATGGCAAAAACCACAATGACTATTGCACAGTGATTGTCCAACCTAATAATGTGGGCAAGTACCCTTGACTGGAAGCGTCACCCAGGTAGGGTACGGTAACATCACTCGACGTTTATTAATTTAACAGAGGTTCACTGAATGTCCATACAGAGTATGAAGGCAGCATTAAGCACGTCTCTAATCATTCAAAAAGATCACGCGGAGCAGCAGACAGAGTAGAGCATCAAACATTGTGAACCAACACCAATGTCATGCATTTAATGATAGAAACTAGGCTTATACTTCTAGAATAAAAATCAGGTTGACAGTGAAACACATTTTACATAACAAGGACAAAGAGAAAGAAGGAGGCAGGGAGCCCCGGGGAATGACTGTGAGTGGACGACGCCCGGTTCCTGCTGGTGCTGCCTCCTTCCGGGATCATATTCAGCCTCTGAACAATCCGAGAGGATACAAAAAATTCACCAAAAGATTGAACCATTAAAAGTGATAAACTATAACATTAAGAATTGAGTCACTTAAATATAAAAAAATAAAAATATAGAATAACAACACGAAATTGAGAAACTTATGAGTTATCCAAAGCATTACAATATATTCATTGCTAAAGTCAATCATACTAAAAAAGAAATTCAGGTGTTATATAAAATATTACTCAGCATCCAACAAAGAAGTCAGTCACAGAGCATGTTTTATGAGCTGAATAATGGCCATTATCAAAAACCTAGCCTGGCAAACAGTCAAGTAAATGGCACCAAGTATGAGTCATTACAAATTATTATAAGACAGAAATGTATCATCTAGACACTTTTCTGCAAACTCAGTTCGAAGCAGCACTAGGATCTCCTGGCTTACCTTCCACAGGGACTCTTTCTTTCAGCATTACATGTCTTATTTTTTGAAGATTAAAAGTCACAAATTCAAGTAATGACTATTATTAAACTTCAAGAAATATTTCCAAATGAATACCATGTACCAAATGTTCTAGAATCTCTAATGGTCTAGAATTTATGAACATGACTATAAAACTATATTTATTAGTAATGATGAAATCAATGGTTCATATTGTAACCCTGGGGACAACAAAGGACACTGAGAAATCGGGATCGTGGCTGTCTCAAAAGTTACGTCACTTGACACTCAGCACTTGCTTTGTATTAATTTTTTTTTTTTTTTTTTTTTAGACAGAATCTCACTTTGTCACCCAGGCTGGAGTGCAGTGGCGCGATCTCAGCTCACTGCAATCTTAACCTCCCGAGTTCAAGCGACTCTCCTGCCTCAGTCTCCTGAGTATCTGGGACTACAGGCACATGACCCACGCCCGGCTAATTTTTATATTTTTAGTAGACATGGAGTTCTGCCATGTTGGCCAGGCTGGTCTCGAACTCCTGACCTCGTGATCTGCCCTCCTCGGCCTCCCAAAGTGCTGGGATTACAGGCATGAGCCACCACGCCCAGCCTTGCTTTGTACTGTTGTCACCATGACTTGGTACAAAGCCTACCCTCTGTTATTTATCCTATAACTGACATTCTGCCATGCAAAGGATATAGATAATAAACAACATATACTTACATTCAAGGTCTGATTTCTAAGTAGGTTTGATGGTCAGCCCCCTGAAAGAACACAGGAATAGTGGAGAAATAAGTGTGAGCCCACTTTGTAGTCACCTATTTGGGACTCGGGGTTGTAGAGGAGCCCTCTAAGATCACAGGTGATCACAAAAGGCTAGAATGGAGGCTTCATGAGACAGCCTGCTCGTTTCTATGGGGATAGTCACACACACCATCCAGGTAAGGCTTGACAGAATCCGCCTCTATCAAGTGCAGGACTCACACGCCTCCAGCCACTTCATCTCCTGCTGAGCTTCCAGGTTCCCGGAGGGAGTGTAGAATGGAGAAACAGGTATTCAGCCTCGCTTTTGATCCGGATCAGCAGCAGCTGCTGAGGCAGCTGAACCCCCTCCCCACCACCATCCCCCACCCAACCCCACCCCAGGGTTCAGCAGACTGTTCCTGGTGCTGCTGTAATGAATATCCATTTGGGTTAAAACATCACCAGTAGCCCCAGAGGGAAGGAATCCTTCTAACCATCATCCTCCAGCAGGCTCAGTGAAGTGGAACCACGGAACAAATTCCATCTTCTGCCTCTTTGGTATCGTCCCCAAGCTATGTAAAATGTAAACACAACAGAACAAAGCTATTCATCTTTGATGGAGAACATTTGCTCAAAATTTGGAGGACCTTGTTTCTCAGCATCCACAAAGCTGAAAATATTTACTATCTGCCCTTCCATGAAAGTTTGCTGCCCCTAGAAGAAAATCCCAGGTAAATTAATCCAAATAGCTTTATCTTCAGGAACTTCCTAGAATATAAAAGGTTAAGGCAGAGTTTGAATGGAGAACTGGAAGCTAGCACAGTTTTGTTAATCTTTGTGGTTTTGTATAGTGGAATTTAATTTATATATTTTTGGATTATATGTTAGGTGGCCCTTTAGTCATAAAATTAAATGACTAAATTTTTTTTGCAAAGATCTTTAGATAATTACTTTGTTCACTTTTGAGATTACCAAGGAAGCTTGCAATGTCTATTCTTTTGCTAATACCCCTTAAGACTGGTTGAGGCCGCAGTAACAATGCTTTGCAAAACAGGCATTCACCATTGCAAACATATGATATGCACACTCCCAAATAGACATAGGGAAGCAGAGCTGATTTTTTATTGTGCCCCATGAAACATCAGCAACTCCTGCTAACTTTTAGCACTACGTGAGAATGTGACTAGTGAGAAGATCTAGATGAATCCGTTTATGGAAAATCACACATTAGAACAGTATGTGAGGTGTCCACATAATGCCACACATTGTTAGGTGAAGCTGCTTTAAGATCATTAAAAAACCAGTGTTGCATACTGACACAATGGAATAAAACTGTAGCAATGAGAATGAGCAGCCCACAACCGCAAGCGATTATGCGGCTGCATCTCATGAAGGTGATGCTATGCTCAAGAGAAGAGGCCATAGACTAAGCACATGCTGTATAACTTGAATTACATAAAGTACAAAAATGGGCAGAAACCTCTTGGAAATTAAGATATGGCCACACACGGCAGTGGCTGTGACTGGAAGGGACTTGAGGGGGTTCCAGGGTCTTGATCTGGATGTTGGTTGCACGGTTGTGTTCAGCTCATAATCTACACTTTATGATGTATAAAGTTTTCAGAATGCATATTATATTTTTAGCTTTTAAAAATGTAAAAGAGGCCGAGTGCGGTGGCTCACGCCTGTAATCCCAGCACTTTGGGAGGCCAAGGCAGACGGATCATGAGGTCAGCAGTTTGAGACCAGCCTGGCCAATATGGTGAAACCCCATCTCTACTAAAACTACAAAAATTAGCCAGGCGTGGTGGCACATGCCTGTAGTCCCAGTTACTTGGGAGGCTGAGGCACAAGAATCACTTGAACCTGGGAGGCGGAGGTTGCAGTGAGCCGAGATCATGCCACTGCACTGTAGCTTGGGCAACAGAGCAAGACTCTGTCTCAAAAAAAAATGTAAAAGAAATTAGAACTGGGTCCATCCAGCCTCTGTTGAGCATACGACAAATGTAAAATCACAAGAGAGAACACATATTAAGGAGTGATTTTACCCTTGCCACCTGAGCTGCGGTGAATAACACTGGATCCCCCTGAGTAACATGGAGCCGGTGGAGGTGTGCCCTTACTGCCTGGCTCTGGGGAAAGCAGGGGAGGGTTCCAGCTCTGGTGGAACATGACCACAAGGGAAGCCAGAAGAAAACCAGGCCTCTGGAAGCCCCGGACCTTGCAGGTGTGCGTAAAGGTAGCATGGAAGCAAACGTCCAAGGCTTAGTGTCCTCTTTGCCTCTTGCCCAGGATTTCCCAAGCCTATTTCAGTTATTGATGCCAGCTTCATGGACTGAGGAGCCATATGATTTCACAGCAAATGAGAGAGGAAGTATTCATGACAATTATAAGCCTATGGATATTCCAGCTCTGATAGTCTCTCCATGAAGCAGAACATTCACCAAGCTAGTCACCAGCAGTGACGAGAGCCCTCAATGTGGGTGTGTGAGCAGCCTTTCCAGGGGTAACCCGATGATGCAGCTCTGAGTGATATGTGCAAAGTGGCTGACTCCAGACCACGACTTATCCACAAGGCTGCTGCTGTGCTCTTTTTTGGTGGCACCTGGTCCCCAATGGAGGAGTTAGAGGTTCTTGAAAATCCCACGAGGTAAAATCTTCTTTTCCAAGAAGAAATGGTAAAAAACACCCAAGGAGAGTTTCAGCGATGCATCTCGGTCTCAGTCTGCACAGCTCCAGGTTGCTGAGGAGGGCAGGAAAAATACATGACTGGACATAAAATTAAAATTGAAGGAAATCCCATGACCTCAAAATGGAGAGAAAGAAACTGAGCTTCTCTTTTTGGGATCTTGAATGACTTGAATAATGGCGGTGATTGAAACTGTGCTGGATCACAGTGTCCTGCAAAAATCCAGGTACCACTGGAACCTGAGAATGTGACCTTATTTAAAAACAGGGTCTTTGCAGCTAAGTGAGTTCACACTGGACTATGATGGGCCCTAAATCCAATCTGACTGGTGCCCTTATAAAAAAAAAAAAAAAAAAAAAAGAGGAGAACACGTGTGAAGGCTGGCAGAGGTGGGAGGATGTGGCTGCATACCAAGGAACGTACAGACTGCCAGGAGCCACCATCAGCTGTAAGAGATGAAGTCCTTCCCAAGACCCTTCAGAGAGAACACAGCCCTGCTGACCCTGCATTTTAGACGATAGCATGGATTTCTGTGGTTTTAAACCCCCCAGGTTGTAGTTTTCATCACAGGAGCCACAAGCAACTAGTGACCTGGTCTTTGGAGATTTGCATGACTGGATGTGAGAAGAGGTGGTAGAAATGGCTGTTGTGTACTCAGGGAGCATCTCACAGCACTCGGAGCATTACATGAAGATATTAGCTCCCTAGGAAGAACAACAAACCAATATTCACTATTTTATTTTTATTTAGAGCTGCTAAGGCCATCAAACCCAGATAAGAAATTTATATCTGGCTGGGTGCAGTGACTCAGGCCTATAATCTCAGCACTTTGGGAGGCTGAGGTGGAAGGACTGCTTAAACCCAGAAGTTCCAGACCAGCTTGGGCAACATAGTGAGACCCTCATCTCTATAAAAAAAATTTTTGAAAGCCAGATGTTGCGGCTCACACCTGTGGTCCCAGCTACTCAGGAGGCTGAGGCAGAAGGATTGCTTAAGCCCAGGAGGTCAAGGCTGCAGTGAACCGAGACTGCACCACTACACTCCAGCCTGGGTGACAGCAAGATGCTGTATCAAAAAGTCTGATGCATCTAGATTAAACATTCTGAACTTAGGCAGTCTAACTGGAAAGCCACAAATCAATGACTCCTAGGTTCAGACTTCTTGTTAGAAACGGACAGCCAAGAGTGTGGAACGTGCTCCCGGTGCCCAGCCAACTGCTGTCCCAGCTGAGCCCACCTGGACCAAGGGACAGGACATCCTCCATTTTCAGTCACTATGAAGAAACTATTTCTCATTGTGAGTCGTTTTGTTAGATCATTCTGATGCCCCTCTCAGGTTCATGAAGCAGGTGCAAGATTCATCGGCCTGTTTTGAGCTTGCTGGGAACACTTACATCCGGAATAAATGTCAGCAGACTCAACTCAAATGTGGCATTTCTTGCCCACGTTGACAATGCCTCTAATAGAGAGATTCACTTTCTCCCTTGTTTTCTGGTGTTAGAGTTAGAACACCAAATGTTCATGCACCTCTGCTTTGCAGATTCAGAAACCTCAACGAAAACAGCCCATTAACTGAGGGAGAAACCCCAGGTCTACGCAGCTCAGCGCTGGACGCTCGGGACAGGGCCATCATCCACCTGCTTCCACACCAACGGCAGGAATAAGGAAGTGAGTAACCCCAGACCTCCGAATATTCCAGGAAAAATCCCCTCCTCTAGTTCCCCACCTCCCTCAGTGCCTCACCAGCACTACCTGCCTGGAGTCCCTCTGGAATAATCGTATTTTACTGCGTAGTCCTGTTAATAGAACTCTCCAAGAAGCTCAGGAGTCCCAGTTCCTCATTCCCCAGACACACCTCCCCAAACCGTCCCAAGCACCTCCCTTCTCATCCCTCTGCCCAACGTTCCTGGCTCCTGGGCCCGTCCACTGTGCCCTCTGCAGATCACATCATCCACAGCAATTTCCTACCTCATGACATTTCTCTCTAAATGCCCTGCGCTTTCTCGCTATAAGAGAAGCAGGGTCTTCCCCGAGGGAGCTGCTTCATTGCGCTCTCCAGGGGTGGATGCAGTGAGCGTCCTCACTCTTCCTCTCCCCCTACCCTGGTGTTCTCAAGTCAGTAGGAGGAGTAGGGGTCCTCAGAGCCCCCTGGTTCCACTTCTAGACGTTACAGCTTTTCTCTGTTCTGAAAACCCTCAAGGTTAACTGTTGTACCCACCTTCCCTCTTTCTCATGGTAATTGTCTGCTGCTCCCAGGCCAGGTCCCTGACAGTCCTAGAATGAGTTCCTGTCACTGCCACTCCCCACACCATTTCTGCCACAATCTGTGATTTTCACATCAATGTCCATGATCCTTTCAAAATCCTGGCATCTTTGATTTATTCTCTTTTGATAGCCTTTCCCCTAGGCTAACTCAACCACTGGTTCCCATGACGATGGAGTTGCTAAAAACTACATCCCGGTAAAACTCCACACCTCAGTAAGTCCAGCGTCCCCAACTTCCTCAGTGATTCGGCCCCCTGAGCCCTACAGTTTTTCCTAAACCCTTTGCACTGCCCCATCCTCCACCATCCTCACTTCCCTCCGTCCCAAGCTGACTTGCCATGGTTGTCATCCCCTCGCTCAGATGCTCAACTCCACCCGTGGCCTTTTTCCC